TTGGAGAGAGTCCAGCAAAGGGCCACGAAGGTGAGGGGTCTAGAGCATCTCTCCTGTGAAGAAAGGCTGAGAGAGCTGGGGCTGTTCAGCCTGGAGAAGAGAAGGCTCAGGGGAATCTCATCCATGCACATAAATACCTGGAAGAAGGGTGCAAAGAAGACGGAGCCAGGCTCTTGTCAGTGGTGCCCAGTACTCTTTCGCTGTGAGGGTGACTGAGCACTGGCACAGGTTGCTCAGGGAAGTAGTGGAGTCTTGCTCCTTGGAGATATTCAAAAGCCATCTGGAAATGGTCCTGGGCAACCCTCTCTGGGTGGCCCTGCTTGAGCAGGGGGGGCTGGACCAGTTGGCCTCCAGAAGTCCCTTCCCACTTCAACCCCTCTGTGAGTCTGTGAAAAGTATCTAGTCCTCAAAACTATTATTAAAATAGTATCCTAATATGGAAATTATTTTAATAATGATACTTTTGATCTGCTGTCAGTGTTGTCTTAAAGTCTATGTGAAAATAATACATTTTTTAGAAGACCTTAACTTGCAGCGGTTCTGAATAGGAAGTGTTAGTACGCAATTGGCTATCTTACATCTCAGTAAGATAACGATTCACTTTGACAAAAGTTTCATTTTTGACACAGTGCCTTTTCACACAGTCTTTTCCTAAGAGGAGATGAGTTACTTTGATTAATCCTGGTGCTTGAAGAAAGAGTAAAGACTTCTGAATGAGCATATTCCCCTCTTGTAACCTAATTAACACAGTATTTTGAAGAACTTTATTTCTCATTTTTTCTGTGAAATTAAAGAGCCTGTATTTCTTTACTGGTGGAAGGTTCAACAGCGGAAGAACTTTAAGCTGAAGCCTCAGGTTAAATCCTTGGACAGGGATGAATGTGACAGTTTTGTTCTGCAGTAGCTTTCTTTTGCGATGTGAACAGAAACAACTTTTTAATTCCTTTAAAGGGAGAGGGGCAGTATGTATGCCAGTCAGCCTAGTTGAATTTTAACTAGTGCTTAAAGAACCTGAAAAATCATAGCAATAGGCAGGCAAAGAAAAGGAGTTTATATGGAACTGAGTGACATTGGTGTGGCGCTTAGTTATGACAAAGTTATCTTTCTATATTAACTTCCATATGGTGAAAGTCATGATGTACTAAAAAAGTCTGAAGCTCTCATATGTGTGTGCTTGCCTTGCCTGGCATAGGAATGAATAGTTCGTTTTCTTCTCCTGTTAATGGTTGCTCTTACCTTTCTGGAGCTTTCATCTTTTGGGTTGAGGTTCTTGTGATTGCATTCTTGAAATTGAATTTGTATGAAAAGTAGTTCAACACTGTTAGAAGAGGTTGAGAAGTGTTATTTAAAATCAAAACTGCCTTCTGGAAAACACAAATAACAAATAGTACCTGGGTTTTCTTTTTTTTTTTTTCTTTCACGACATTTTCAGCCTGACTTGGTAAAAATCGGATACAAAAATAACCTTCATTAAGACTAAATGCTTTTGGAAATTTTAATATTAAAACAGTTTAAAAATCCTTTACTGATTACATGCAGGACTTCTATGAACAATATTAAGGTAAGAAGCTTGTGCATGTGTAATAAAAGTGAGCAAAATGAAAATTCATGAAAGCGAGTGGTGAAGCGAAGGTTTTGAACCTCATTCAAGGTACCACTTACAAGCAGTTGTTAAAGCAAGAGCTGCCTAAGATCAGTGAGAGAAGCTTTGGTTTCTCAGGATCCTGGTTCATGTAAACTATGTCTGCACCTTCAACAAGACTTGACTTTGTAAAAAAGTTGCTGTTCGTAGGCTTTGTTTGCACACTGCTTCTGGAATCCTGAACAATGTGTTCTGTTGCAATCTGTTGTCTGCGTTGCGTGCACTGTATGTTTTTAGTGATCATATCAGCACTGATTCATCATTGCAGTCACCTATTCACATTGCAAGTCTGTTGATTGAATGTTTAACTCCTGTAATGGAAGAGGTAGAATATTGATGGCACAAAAGTGCTTGGTTCCAAGTTTAAGCCGTATGCTTAACCATCTTTGATACCAACCCAGATCTCGGTATCATATTTATCCCTGTTACAACAGACCATTACCTTTTGCATTAAAATTATTATGAAAATCTGAGTGTTATAAATAGACATTAACACTATTTTTATCTACGCCTGGACAATTTTTGTGCAAATCTGAAAGGTTCCCTTTAGAAATGTCTTCCTAAACCACTTCCTCTTATAAGGATCAGTGTGGATGTATCAAATGTCAAGAAAAGATGCATAACAGGGATACTTTTAAAATATTTAAAACTGTTTAACTTCTTTCCATTGCTTAGTCAGGAAGGGAATAGGATGTATGAATAGTTGAGCTACTGTAAAGCAGAAATTATTTATTTTGATGTATTCTTATTTCAGTGATGGAGAGCAGAAGGATAAGCATCCCTGAACTTGGGCAAGATTGTTAACTTAGTGTGGGTCTCCCAAAGTGTTTTGTAGAAATAAGTAAACTTTGTTTCACGAGAGGCATCCCTTTTGTATAAAGAATTAATTGTTGATCACTAATCCTTTAGTGAGAGTTACATTGTGTCAGTTCAGTATATTTCAGAAACATGAGATATGTGGCATCAAAATAAGGAAAGCATGTAGCAGACAGCTTTCTTCATTTTAGTCTTGGAAAAGCTGAAGGTTTACATAGTATTTACATGTGTACATATATTACACATTGTCCTAGGACATCTGCCATGTGCTATAGTTCTGCTTCATATAGTACTACGTACTTGTACTGAGTGAATAGTTGTATCAGAGAAGCCTGAATGATTGTAGAAAGCTTGCTGTAGCAACAGAGCATGGATAATGGAAATAATACATGGGGGAATAAAGCACCGAGGGATTGAGCATCTTGTTGAGTGGGTGACATTTGAAGGTATCTGCTGAAGTACCTAAATTTTTACCAAAACTTTCTTCAAGTTACTTTTCTAATAATGCAGGCTGTTTGGTTTTGGTTTTTTTTTTTTTTTTTTTTTTAAGGACTTGCTTTCCACATAAAAACTACTTTACACAATCTATTCATTCTTTTAGATACAAGTATTAAAAGCTGCAGCTTCTGGTGAAGTCAGTGGTAGTATGAAAACTGCAAATGTTGAGAAACTTGAATTGCAGTAGGTTTACAGTTCTACTATACTGCGTAACACTCCAGCTTCTGTTGGTTCTCCTCTGTTCTTACCAAATTTACTCCAGAATATTGATCTTTCTGGTCAGGAATTAGATGAAATGGTATTGAAGTATAACGTAGTAAACTGCTTGCCCTCTGTCATGGTTTAACCCCAGCCGGCAACTAAGCACCACACAGCTGCTTGCTCACTCCCCGCCAGTGGGATGGAGGAGAGAATCGGAAACGTAAAAGTGAGAAAACTCATGGGTTGAGGTAAAGACAGTTTAACAGGTAAAGCAGAAGCTGCGCACACAAGCAAAGCAAGGAATTCATTTGCTGCTTCCCATGGGCAGGCAGGTGTTGAGCCATCTCCAGGAAAGCAGGGCTCCATCACATGTAACAATTACTTGGGAAGACAAAATGCTGTAACTCTGAACATTCCCCCCTTCCTTCTCCTTCCCCCATCTTTGTATGCTGAGCATGACGTCATATGGTGTGGAACATCCCTTTGGTCAGTTGGGGTCAGCTGTCCCAGCCGTGTCCCCTCCCAGCTTCTTGTGCACCCCCAGCCTGCTCGCTGGTGGGGTGGGGTGAGAGGCAGAAAAGGCCTTGACTCTGTGTAAGCCCTGCTCAGCAATAACAAAAACATCCCTGTGTTATCCACACTGTTTTCAGCACAAATCCAAAACATAGCCCCATACTAGCTGCTATGAACAAAATTAACTCTATCCCAGTCAAGACCAGCATACCCTCTGCAACCAACATTGAGACTGGCCATGGAAAAATGTAAGCATAAAAGGGAACTCCAGTGACCAGTTTTGAGTCTTAGTCTGTGTCTAGACTACTAAATTAAACGTGCCTGGAAACTTTCCTTGATGCTTAGGGCCAGCTGGCACAAAATGGCCTGTTTGTGCTGGTGTACGCTCACCCGGTAAAGCAGAGGCTGCATGCAAACTGTCTATTTGAAGGGATCTCAAATCTTTTCACTGCTAAATAGTGCCTGGAAATTGGCTGGGAGAGTCCTGGTTGGTGTGGGCCAAAAGCATGCCAGGGAATATTTTAACAAATTACTGGTAGTGTCACTTAGCGATGGAGAACACTTCCTGACCTTGCCTTGCTTTTCTTTTCACACATTTTTCTTCCTTTTGGGAGACAGGAAGAAAATGGTCAAAGAAAATAACAAGCAGGAGTAAGGAGAGACACTTTTAAACTTCTGTATCAAAGCAGTGGTAGCTCTTATAGCAGCACTGCCTCACTTAGTCCAGTTTATTGCTAGCCCATATCTCTAGAGGAATGTAGGAGAAGCAGGTGGAGCCTAGGAAGAATTGAGAGGGTTTCAGATGTTCTGCTGGCTTTACAAGAATTGCATGATTTCGCTGAAGGGTCTCAAAAGGTTCTTTTGTTTTTAAAAAGAATCTATCAAATGCTATACTGTTTTGAGTATTTTTCGTTGGAGAAGTTTCATGTGATGATAGTGTATAATAAAGGGAGGAGTTGTTTCAGGAGTACAGTGTGAAAGAATGTTTAAAGGAGATAAGTAATTGGCTTATCTAAAGTTTTGACGATGTACAGGAAGAGAACCATAGGTTTGGTAGACACTCCCAAGTTAGAAGAAATTCATGAAGATAGTGTTCTGTTTTAATGTACAGTAGTTTTTGGTTTGCATTGCTCTCCTGCAAAATGCTTTATTTTATTAAACATTTTTGTGAACTAGAAACCACTGTCTGCATAGGGTATTTATTAAGTGGGGGAATGAGCACAGGCTTCATGGTCTCTTCTTAAAACTTTCTAAATATGATCCCCAATGCTCTCGCTTCGTCTTTTACAGCTTTATTTTACATGAACAGTTTTGTCTTTTATTTTTGCAGAGGATGACAAATAGCAGCAGCTCCCCTAGCCTTCTCAATGACAGTGCCAAGCAGTATGCAGGCCATGGTAAGTACTTTTAAAGTAATATGTATAAAAGTATGTTTGGAAATTTAAAAGATTCACTTTAGTAAAACTGAGACTTAAGGGTGGTTGTTTTTTTTTTTTCTCCTCTGATTTGATTTGAGATGCAGTAGAACTTTATTTTTTACCAGTAGTGTATTGTGATTACTTGTAATCCAAAGCTGAAGTGCTACTGAACTCATAAATTTTCAGTCTTCTCTTTGCTGCAGTGGGGAAAAACTGGGGGGCCCCCCCCGCCCCAAATCGGTCTTGTTACTTCAAGTGAAATGCTAGTTTGGATATCCACCATAAAGCACTGATAGCTTAAATAAGCATTTCTATTGCTCCACAGTAGTATCCCTTTTTATTGTGCTTTTCAAGTAAGTTATTGTGTGGAATGAATGTACAGGTCTTACATTTCACAAAAAACCTACAGCCTAAATTTATCACATAACTGATGATTTTTAATAGATGTAAGTTTTGTCCTGTAAGTACTTTACATCTTTTATCTTTTTTTTTTTCCCACTGCTATTGGGAACATGGTTTTCAACCAAACAAGATGTCTCCATAGTGCAGGCCAACATACTCGCTAAATTACTATGGAGGGTATATTGAACTTCTGTAATGCACTTTTCAGAATCGCTTTCCAAATTATAACAGGCACTGCAGATTATTTCAGCTATAGCTGTCAAACTAACTTCTTTAAAGAAGAGGATACTACTTCCTTATAGCAAGGACACACATTTAAAATCCATTTCTGCTCTGAAAATTGCTGTGTAAATGGTGTTCTAGAAATCCATTTGCATGTCTGACCCTGCAGCTAGTCTACTTACTAGGGTTATAATTTTTTAAGCATGGTAGTGACTACTATAAAATTAACTTAGTTGAAATTTGTTGTTTGTTTGTTTTTTTTTTTTCTTCCTCCTGGTTCATTGCCAGTAGGTTTTGTGATTAATTCTACTTCTTTTGTCCCACCAAACAATTAGCTATTCAAGGCAGTGGAGGTCTCCAGTTTTAAATGCAGTCAGAGTTTGACTGTGACAGGCCAAATAGTAATGGTGATGCATGTGAAGGAGAGAAACCAGACTGACTTTTGGAAACCAATTTAAATTCTGTTGTGTCTCAGGTCCTTTTCTTCCCTGCCCCCCAAGCTGTGCTTCACTTGTAGAATTACCCCTTTAAGGAGTTTTGATTAATGTTGAAGGAAGTGTTTCATCAAAACACTGATGTTTACAGCTGGCAGTCATCTGCTAATTTTGACAGCTCTGTGCATGCAATTTGTTGTTCACAGTTGCATCTGTGATTCTTATTCAGTTTTTGGTGCTTCAACTCCAGAAGGGATGCATAGGGATGAAGAAAAAGCAATAAACCGCTACTAATAGAATGTAGACTTTTGCTACCTTTAGTTCTGATTTAAATTTGTGCAGAACAGTGACAGGACAAATAAGATCCACATCAGGCCCCCGTGCAATGCTACAGGCTTGGGGAGGAGTGGCTGGAGAGCTGCCTGGCGGAAAAGGACCTGGGAATGTTGGTTGACAGCCACCTGAACATGAGCCAGCAGTGTGCTCAGGTGGCCAAGAGGGCCAATAGAATCCTGGCTTGTATCAAGAATAGTGTGGCCAGCAGGACCAGGGCAATAAGGGTCTAGAGCACAAATCTTATGAGGAGCGGCTGAGGGAGCTGGGGTTGTTTAGCCTGGAGAAGAGGAGGCTGAGGGGAGACCTTATCGTTCTCTTCAACTACCTGCAAGGAGGTTGTAGCAAGATGGGGGTCGGTCTCTTCTCCCGAGTAACAAGTGATAGGATGAGAGGAAATGGCCTCAAGCTAAGCCAGGGGAAGTTTAGATTGGATATTAGGAAAAACTTCTTCACTGAAAGGGTAGTCAGGCACTGGACCAGGCTGCCCAGGGAAGTGGTTGAGTCTCCATCCCTGGAGGTATTTAAAAGAAGGGTAGACGTGGTGGTCGAGGACATGGTTTAGCGGTGGACTTGGCAGTGTTAGGTTAATGGTTTCTACTTGATGATCTTAAGGGTCTTTTCCAACCTTAATGATTCTATGATTCTATGATTATTTGTAAGACTGTGTTATATGGAAGATTACTAATTTCAGGTAACTGGAGAGGAAGGCTTTGAAATGTTACATGGTTGTTAAGTAATGTCAACAGCAATTAAACTTACTAACTTCTGCTAATGAGCTCCATTTCAATTGAGCAGTTGCACAGAATCTAATAAATGCTGCGGGTTTTAGCAGTGTCGTTGCTAAACTTAGTTTTGTCAAAAGGATTTTTTCCATACAGAAATATTAAAAAATGTAAAATTTGTTTTTAATATTAGAGGTATATAACATGTTGTTTTACATTCTTTTTACAGATCCACTAACTTCACCAAATTCATCCTTGTTTAATGACTTTGCTGCCCTCAGCGTGTCTCAAAGGAGGAAGGTAAGCAACAAGTAAATCTTAAGTAGCATATTTGTATATGAGTTGACAGGGAAGAAGATCTGGAATAACTTGAAATGCTATGTGAAATAAAGATGATTCTTCTAATGTTACTAGATTTATTTTCCTGTGTTACTGCTGATATAAATAAGATCTTACTACTCCATTTTTGCTATGCCAGATCAGACTGCTGCTGGTATTAAGAAATATTCCAAGTACTTGTAAACTGAAGTTTATAAGAATGCTTTCAATATGAAAATTAGGACATAGCTTATTAAATTTAAAAACAAATTATTTTTATTGTACTGAGGCACAAGACAAGCCACCTGCAAGCCTTCATGGCAAAAAGTTCTGAGTACATTAAGAATCGTTCCCCCATTTACTTATCCATGATGTAAAAGTAGTTCTTACAGTTTGAAACGGATTTCGTTTGAAAGACATTCTATAATATTGGGAAGCTAGGGTTGGGGATTTTTTCCCCTGTAATCTGTATTGACAAATCTCTACTTCTGCTGAGGGCTAGAAAGCAACTTCAAACACCTTTGACCTGCACCAATGCCGGTTGTGGTGTTTTCCTCTATACACTTACAAATGCAGTGGCTGGAATAAGAGACAAAAGGCTGGTTACCCCAGAGTTCCTTCTCATTTTTGTGAACTGTGGCTTATCAAAAAAGACATGTTGTCCCAACCAGTTACCAGATTTTACTTTCACTGATGACTTCCATATTTCACTACTCTTATTAGCCACATGATCCTGAACTTTCTTGTAGTCTATAATGTATTGTGTTGAACGCATGCTACATCAGCATGCTTGTGACTTTTCATAGCGCTTCATTTGTGTGCTGGCAGTTAGGAGCTCTGTATCATTCCTGCAGGTGAAAATTGGGCTTAAAGATAATTACCATAATTGGCCCATCAGACTAATGTTCCTTGAAATGAAATGCTGTTGTAGAATGTTAACTTCCTAATATTGTGATGTATTCAAACTGCATGGAATCTCTGAATTACCCTTTTCCTTAATGCCAGTATAGTGCACTGGAAGTTGGATGTGAACAATTATAAATGTACTGTTTATCCACTTACTGAGGACAGTAAGAATGAAAGTAAGCATAGATTCCTTTTTAACTCAGTCTGCAAGCACTGTATATATGTGTGCAAGTGTGAGTGTGTGCTTATGTATGTAAACCACATACACAAAAGAAAATGCACTATTATACAGAAGTATTACCAGAGGGACCACTGCCTCTAATATTAAAAATTACTTCAAAGTTAATTAAAACAGTAGAAAATGGAAACAAACAGATTAATGTTTGAGTGTAAAGCTCAAGTAACTCAAAGCTCAAATACTGATGTAGAGTCTTTTCTGACTTGATCCCTTTTTTCCCCAAGAAAAAAATCAGCAAATTAAGCCACTTGCTGCTACAATAGTATCAAGAGAAAGATTTATCTGTGAAACCGATTGACTTGGATTTTTTCCAATTAGTATTTCAGACATAACTGGCATTAATTGAAAGAGGTTTGTGTTTTGCTTTGCATATTAATAATTTATTGTTTGTTATGACTGCTATTTTGTAATGTATGTTTGTATAAAAGGTTGTTAAATAATACTAGTAATGGGGAAGTTTTCATCTAATATTACTTGAGCTGTCTAAAATCTAGGCAGCCAGGCTCCCTCTATAGTCAGTAGAGAGAGATGAGCAGCTTAAAGGAACATTCATCTCACATTGAGAAAAGTATTTGGGAAAAGACTAGATGTCAGTTACTGCTTTAAGTGGATAAAAATTGGTGGCTAAAGTTAGGAGAAATTAATCACACTTTTGTGACTGACTGATTTTTACTACCAGACAATACATTGCAAATAGTCATGGATATAGCTTCTTAATATTTTTAGTATTTTTTGAGTACAATATTCAAATTGTTTTAAGTGATTTCCTCAAAAGCACTAAATGCTTGATTGCCAGGTATTTAAAAACTTGTGTGATTTCCCCCCCCACCCCAGTAACTGGGATTTGTTTAGAGCTTGAGCAATTTGATTTATCAGGCCAGTGCTTGACGCCTCCTGTAACACAAGACAGATAGCCTTCTAGAAGCGTGTGCTTCTGTTCATTGACTCTAAAGGGAGCCTTGATGATGAGCTCAAGTGTAGAAATTTACAACATCTACTATTTGAAAAAAAACTTTTCATTTTCTTGCTAAGAGCCCAGGGCTAAGGTTTTGTTTGTTCTGAACTAGCTGGCAAAACCAGCATTTCCTTCGTTTATCACTGACTTGGAGGACAGATATAATACAGTCTTGGTAAGTGAATAAAGACCAATTGCTTTCCTTTACAAATTAGAGTTGTGATATTTTAAATATTTAGAACTATTAAGTTATTTGCAACTATGTAAAAACTGCATGTTTGTGTTGCATAAAACCATGAATAGTTTCTGTAAAAGCATGTAAGATGTAGCTGTGTTAAGCAAGGAAGTTAAGTTTATTAATCTTCATTGTCTCTGGATATTGCTGATCATGTTATCGTGGCAGCCCTTTAACAATGGGCAAGCCATATGGACATAAGTATTTTATATCAATAAAATAATAAAGATAAGACTTGGTGATCATAATTCTGAATATCCTTGCTTTTTAATTAGGCAGCTTTTTTGAAACTAGTTAGTGTGACTGCACTATTCGAGTTGCTTATGATTATTTTGATGTTTAAAGATGTTTTTGTTTAAAAAGTAAACATAGTCCTTGAATTTTTATGAACATTCTCGAGGTTATTTTCTCTGTTTAGAAATTATTAAACTGCATTTCAATTTTAGATTTCAGGAAAGCTAAGATTACTATTTAAAGACATTTTTATAGGATACTTAAAATGAAATCAAAGGAGCTAAGTATTTCTGTAGATGGAGCCTTGGTGGAGGTTCTGTCAACTGTAAAACCTTCTGGATTTACTGTCCGGTTGTTGTAACTCCACATGCAGTAAGACAAGCAACCTTAAAGTGAATTTCCTATAAGAGATTTTCAGGTAAGTATTAATCTACAATGCACAAATAGGATTTGTGAAGCATGGAACAAAAGCTAGAGTTAGTAATAGACTAACCCTCTTTCCTGAGAATAATGATGTCACATTTTATTTTATCTTATCTTCAAATACATGTTATGCTTGTTAAAAATAGGGTAGCATTCTGAACTTGGAACTTCTTGGGTGTTTTTCCTAAATTGGCTTTAGCCATTATCTAGAACAATGCTTCTCTCTAAACCCTGAAATGATCTGGCTGGAAAACTCCTTGCATTCATTTTGGTGGTTCTGGTAAACAGTTCATAAAAATGTGTGCAACATAGCTGATCAGAATCTGTTGCCAAGGGAATGACAGCTTAATGCACTAAAAAGAAAATCTCTGATGAAACTTTTGTTTAAATTTGTTCTGAGACTGTTGCCACCAATCCAGGCTAAAGGGTTCCTCTACTTGTCACTGGTCAGCCTTACAAGATAGTGAAAAGCACTCCTTTTGCATTTTACTTTGGTTTTTCATACCTTCAATCCTCATGAAAACTGAACTCTTCTGAAAAGTTCCTAACATTGGTTTATTTCCATTTCACTTTTTTCTTTTACTTGTTCAGTCACACCTAGAGCAGGGCCATTAAGGTGAGAACCACTGTTAGTCCACAGGCTGCAAGGAGTGAACCAACTGCTGTAGTGAACAACTTTCAATACAATTTTAATGCTATTTTGTATGTATTTTGAAGAATTTTTTTTTCTTTTGAGAACTCCTTCCATTGGTTTTAGGTGACTAAAGGCCAGGACCAAAAGACACTAAACTAGATTAGAATAGAAAGTATAGGAGAGATTATTTGGATGGAAGTTCACCCAGAACAGGGTGCTGCTGCTTAGTGCTCTCAATGGAGATCTACAGCAAGTAAGATTGGACAGCCGACTTCTTTAATTCATATACTTTGATCAGCAGTAATAAATGTGCAGAGAAAATAATTTTGAAACAAAAGACTGCCTGTAAGCCTAGTCTGCATAAATGCAAGCTTTTTAATGAGTACAAGGAGAGTTGCTCCTCTTCTGTTAAAAGAAAACAATAAAGCTGACTTCAGGTGCTGTGGAAACCAAATTCTTAAGACCTAAACTATTGCAAGTTTATTTTTGAGTGTCCTGTCCTCCATCTAGTTTTGTTGCCTGTTGGGAAGCTGTATTTCTCTCCAGCTTCCCGTCTCCAGCTCTGTCTTGACACCTCTGATACCTGATCTTTGTATTGTTCAGTGGTGTTCATTGAAAAGCCACGTGTGCCATGTTTGGTCTTGCTGTATTTACCTTTAATTAAAATGTGCCGAGACAGTTGTTTTCTGTTTCATAGCCTCCTGAATACCATCTCAGAAGCATGAGTCATGGTCTGAGAAGTTGGGGGGTCATTACCAAACACCACGTCGTGCCGCTGTGTTGTAAACTGCAGGATTATGGCTGCGCAGACTTTATAATGTACCTGGGCTAAATTTATATTTCAAACCTGAAATTTTCCTTCTGGGATTATACACCTCTACTGCAATACTAAAACATTACAGTTCATAAGTCATGAAAAAAAAGTTGTTGCAGGTATATAGAAAGACTATGCTTCTGGAGAAAACTAATAAATGTTTGCAGGTACTGGGATGTTTATCTCAGCCTAAAATGTGTTTTAAGGGTGTGATATCATCTAACCCATTTTAATTTTTTTTTTTTAATAATTGGAATTGTTCCTTGATTGTGTGCTCTTGCTGCCTTAGTAATTACTACGTAGTATGGTATTTTTCATTTTTGAGTGTGACATGAGAGAATATATTATTCACATTCATTTTTGTGTATGGATTAGTGATCACTGTGTTATGTAGAAATCAAATTATTAAAGCACTTCCTTTTTAGAACTGTGTAACATTTTTACATTGATGAGGAGGTGTCATATTTGTGTTGCCTCATCCTGTTGTGTATTTGAAGGAAAAGAGCAGAATAAGATGACTGCATAGCGCATCACTTGCTTTAG